AAAAATCAAATGGAAAACTATCTTACTGATTTGTTCTGCCAAAACCACTATATACATAAAATACTGAAAATGGAGCAGGTCTGTAACTAGTATCAAAGTTTCTTTGGTTCAAAAACACACAGAACACTAGCAATGTGCTTTAAATTAAGTACGTGTTTCAAAGGTTAACAGGACCATTCCTTAGGCAGAAGAACAAAGAGGAGCTGGTTAAAGAAAATTGGGTACACTACAGCTACTTAAAATACTGTATCCAGGCACAACTCATTTGGATGCCTTTGAGCTCAAAGCTAATTTGAATTATACAGAGGTACTTTAAAGAATAAAAATACTAACCTGTGTTTTATCTAAGCTCTTTTAGCTGAACTGAGCTACTAATTAAAAATCTTCACTGCTTTTCCTAATTTCTGATGTATTTTTTTAACAGAGTAATAAAGCCATCTAAAAGCTCTGTCCTTCCTCACAGAAGAGTGTTAATAACATTAACATCTCTGAAATGTGGTTCTAGTAACGGTTTTACTAATAACATGTCTGTCATCTGCTTTAACTGTATCTCGTAGCTAATCTAAAAATACTGTGTAGTAGGACTTCTGAAAGCAATAGTGATGCGTATGCCAACATTCCTCTCAGTGACAATACTACAAGAGTTTACAACCCAGGCAATGCTTAAATGTAACAATATCTCCGAAATAATACATTAAACAGATGTGTACCTGGTATTATAAATATGTGACATAAAAATCTATTGGGTTGGTCATTGTGCATATTAAAAACCATTCAAGTAGGTCAAATTGTGGATAACTTAAAACTTTAAAGACAGCAATTTTAATAAAACTGTCAATACAATTTTCTTTGTAAAAACATTTGAGACTGATTATGCTGCTTATATTGAAAAAGAAACACAAGGTCTATATCTTCAGATCTTTTATTGAACTGTGAGCACAGCATCAATAACTGCTTCTCAGCTGTAAATGAAAATTGATTCCAGATCTAACCTGTCGTTTTCTGTGTGTCTTTAATCCCAAATCACCTGCAATGAGACATAAGAATCAGCATTTTGTCTATGGGACAAAGCACGTGTCATATGGCCAGCTCCAAAGTCTCTACACTGAAGATACTGTGGGGTGTGTTTACATGTGTTAGATGTAGGTGATAACTGCGGTGTCTCCAAGCGATGCCCAAAAAGTGATGATGGGAGTTTGCAGCTGGAGTGGAGTGACTTGTAACTTGTCTCTCGCCTATTGCAAAGATCAATACGGTCCAAAGCTTTACAGATCTGAAGTCTGAAGGGACCTGCAATGAACATCTCATTGGACCTCCTGCAAGAAATTTACTTGACAACTTCTACGTCAAGACCACAACTGCCAGAAGTCTAAAAGGAGCGGGAAACCACAAGGTGTCCACGCAATTTGCAGCGGTTTGGCACCAGTAGTTTGGATTTGCAGTCAGCTCTCACTTGCTGAAGCCTCTAAAGACCTCTGGGTGAAATTAAAGTGTACAGCCTCCTTTCAGGAATCTTTTTCTTGGTGATATGTTGCTAGGCCATTCATCATGCATGCCTTAATTCTTTTTGGCTGAACCAAAAAAGTCCTAATGCTTATATTAAGGAGGGTTCTCCAGATCATGTTTATAACTCTCAGGAATAATTTCCAGTTATGCAAAATCCTGTTTGAAAAGTGAATGCTAAAAGTGGGCAGCACGTTCAATAACGGCCTTACTAATACTATCTGTAGAATAAACACCTTCCACTGACTTTGACCTGGTAGTTCTCATCTTATCCAGAAATCAGGCTCAGCTTCTTAATTACATGACTGACTGGAGCTATAATGTGTGTTGGGTTTCCTCTCAGCAGTGGGAAGAAAAGGAAGGAGATGTTTAACACCTGAAAGAGCAGGAGGTCCATAGACCACTAAATAAATGCAATACAGATCAGAAATAATTGTGCTTGTTCACAGTACTGAGAAAATAAGACAGAAGGGCTTTCTTTCTTGCAGACAAGCTTCTAACAATCTTCCACCATGACAAATGGAGTACTAGTAGTCTCAGAAGACAAGCTGATAGATCAAACTCTCTCCACATACTATAGACATTCACTAAAAGTTGAGATCAAGGTGCATTTATGGATCAGTGTCACTTCCACCCCCGCCGTGTAAAGATTGAAGGGTCCCTAGCAGTGCTCAAAGAACAAATCCTAGGGCTCCCTACTGACTACGGTTCTCAAAGAATTTTAATTTCCTTGAAATACAAGTAAAAATAAAGATAACAAACTTGATTTTCACATACTGTGTTTTTATTAACAGAAATGAGTAAATGCCAGCTCATGCTTCACATTGGCTGCAAGAATATAGCAAAAAAAAAAAAAAAAAAAATCAGAAAGATTGTACAGACAATGATTCCATTTCCTTGTAGAAATGTTGCATAAACTGTTAGAATGGTTTTGAGCCGAGAGTTTTCATCTTTTCTCTCCCTGTCAGAATGCACACGTGTATGCAGCTGAATTACAATGGTCATTTTGACTGCAAAATCTTTATGTTAAAAAAAAGCTCCACAGCTGAACATTCAACATTGTCACATAGTCACATATTGTAATTGCCTTGATCTATTCCTCATGAATGAATAGTTTATATACTTTTTGGAAAAAATATTTTGCAGACAAAACCCATTGTAGTTACTTCGTTGATGTTTATGTGCCTGACCAGTGGGCCAGATCAACCTTTCTTTCCATTTCCAATCCCCTCTCTTTAAAGAGATATGGCAGAAGCTGCTAAAGTGTGAAGGCACTGCCAGTGTAACGCGCGAGTGACGCAGCAGACCCATGCTGCTCAGCTTTGCAAGGCCTTAGTCTGGGATGCAGTGTGTGACAAAAATCTAAAGGACAGACACATACAGTCATTCATTCAGGAAACCTAAAAAGCTGCGGGATTCTTTCCTATAATATGTATAACTTTGTCTATGCCCTCTATTTGAAATACAAATAAAAGAGATGCAACCATGCATATGTGGGGTACCCAGGAAAGGTGAAGGTTTCCCTTGAAGTGCAGGGCATTTAAGAAGTATGCTCGGCGTGCTTCCCGTCCAGACAGTTCATTTATTTTTTATGTGATCGGAAGTGTTCGTGTTTGGAATCCCTAAATATTCAGACCATAATCTGTTTCTTAAGAAGATATTTGGGAGAGCTTAGGAGATTTGAATCAATCCTAATCACCCAGAGTGAGATGAATCTCACACTCCCAAAAGGAAAAACATTTTCTATGTACTATAAAATTTTGAGAAACTACATGAACAGTCCTTATTGGGCTCTCTTGTGTGTTTGCAGCTTATGCCGCGAATGGTATTACTGGAAAGTCACACGGAGTTTTGGTGCAGTCTGAGGCTTCCTACAGCTCCGGCATATCACCACCACATAAGGACTCAGGCTGCAGCTCCTGAACTGGGAGCAATGGGACACTGCTCACGAGCGTGATGCTGCCTTTGGGTAAGAGGCACGCGTGTTCTGCACAACAGTTTTGAGAGCTACCAATACTCCACTGTGTGGTGTAGACATAACCACGTCTTTCCTGCTTGGGATTAATGTGGGAGATGACACCTATTCGAGTCAGCGAGTGCTTTTCATTAGATGTCAGCAAACGCTGGCCCAGGCATTCTCTTCTTCATTCACCAGTGTCACATGATTTCATCTTAGCAGTGTAATTTGTGTAAATTTGGAATCATTCTACTTAAGTCATTAGAAAACTACTACTGTAGGAAAACAAAAGTAACTCCTACCCAATAATATACTTCAATTTCTATATTTTGGGCACCTCAGTGTCACAATGTCATTTTTCAGGACTATTTGGGGAAGTTTCCAATAGATCTGGAAACCTGCTGGTTTCATAAGCCCCCATGTTTGTACAACAGTGCATTGCACAAGTACAGGCTTTTGACTCTTAGGCTTCAGATGAGAGCACAAGTCTATCTCAGTGCCAAAAAACAATGACTCGTATGACTTAGGGGTCAACTGACACCAGAAGGTAAATCTTTCCTGGCACGACCCTAAAGGATGGATTAGGTAGGTTGAAGGAGAACATTTTGGTGGTTTAAAAATAAATAAGAAAAAAGTATCGACTTAAAATTAACATATCCCAGGCAGAACAGATGATCTTATGCTGAATTATAGCATTACCTTCCTCTCTATTCCAAACATTTCCACATTTGAACCTATTGCATATATAAAGTAACAAGAAGGATGAATTTAACCCAAAGTCTCTTTTTTTTTTGATACAAATGTTGAGAATATGAATTTCAACAGCTTTATTTCCCAGCATTATCTATAAATATTTATAAAGAAGGAATGATAGAGAATGACATGAGCCGGTTTTCTGAAAATGATTCTTCATTAACGTCCCAAGTAGGCTGAGAGACTTTCAGTATTGATTTACAGCTACACACTGAAGATTTTCCCTCTCACAAATGGGAATCACTGAATTCCTAACTATGGACTCCCAGCTCTTTATTCACTGACTGGAACAAAACTTACGGACCCAATCCTCTCGGGTGCAATTGCACAAATGAATTGCAAAGTGGAAACCAACTCTGCAGTTGTGATAGTGGTCTGATGTGGTCATTTTACATCCACTTCCAAAAAGGTCATAAATTTCAGAAATCGATTGCGAAACAATCGGAGTCTGTTCCACAGTTAGTTTGGTACAATGGAGGATAGAAACTCAGAGAACGTTAGCTATTCCTGGGTGATGCCATGTGTGGTCTCTTATTCCAAGCCTAGTAGTCATGTTTTGATTTAGTTTAATCCACTTTACAAAGTTAATTCAGCAAAACCGACAAAATGCATTCCTATTTAAGAATGTTTCCTCTCACAAAGGTTCTAAGCACAAGGAAGATTTAAGTTAATGGATTCTGCAGCACCTCAAAATGCTTTTGATGCATATAGTAAACCAACATGCAATCACCGATGAAACAAGTTTGTCAGATTATATGGTCTATGCACTCATATCAAATGTATTTACCTGTTCATTGTCATCTTCATCACTGCTGAGTTTCAGATCATCCTCAAGCATTCTGAAAAAAAAAGAGAGACCATACAGAATTACATTTAATGGATTAACTTTATATACAATGGGCTGAATCTACTCTTCAGCAAAGTCAGAGGAAAAACTCCCTTTCAATTCAGTAACAGCAAAATCAGATCTGTGATCAGTAAATTGAGGAATACTCCATGTATGTATGTATGCATGTTTTAGTCCTCTGTGTGATGCTAGGTAAGAACAAATGTCTTTCAGACTCATCCATTGTAAAGTTTGGCAGTCAGTTCCTCTTTTATTTGCACATTTTCTCACAGTGATTAGTCCATACACACCTATGTGTATTTCTAAATCAGAAGGTGGAAGGGAAATTCAGTTCTGAGACTGAACTGAGAAAAAGTCCTCCATGTTTCATTCTTGATAGAGGGCACCACTGATCTTTCAGGCTGGTAGCAATCCCCCACCTTATCAAACTAAGAATGCAGGGTGGAAAATAGCAAGAAGAGGAGGACCTTGTCTGAGGTTTGATGGGACCTCACAGTTGTTAGTATCTAAAGGCAGAGCAAACGTTTTCCAAGGCAGGAATCTGCTAATTCATATGCCCATTTTTTAATTCTTTTTTTAAATACAGGGAAATCTCACATCACTGCTCCCTGCCCTTGGTTAAAGGGGAAGGAAAATCCTAGAAGATGCAGCTGTCCTAATGCCTCCTTCCTTTCTTTTGGCAGAAGAAAGAGTTGAGTAGTGCATATTACTATGTTAACACTCATCTTATATTGCTACTTTTTTTTTTTAATCCAAGACTTAGGTACGGAAAAACATGTGGGGTAAGACACCATATTATTTGCTGTTACATCTTTGCAGAAAAGGTCTCTTCTTTTGAGGTCTGTCTACCTACAGAGACAGGACTAGCACCCACCAAATACACTCCCATACAGCTTCCCTTATATTCATTCTTTTATCTGGTGGTCCTCCTTAGAGCTGATATTCCTTTGGGCACACTTCTACCTCACACCCATCTTTTCACCTTGACAAATTTTGTTATCACAGGATGACGTATGAATGAATCAGCACATCTCACCCAGATCCGCTGTGACAGCCACTAAAATTGTCGAGGTTCCTTTCTCCCAGCCTGAGCTCCTTTACCCACGGCAGGAGGCTTGCAAATTGCAATTACTGTTTCCTTTCTGCCTTGATGGAGACTGAAGTCTATGATTTTTTATTGTTAGCCTTTAAATAACTGTAGCAATCAATGGATGTTCTGCTAGGAAGTTTTTTTGTTTGTTTGAAGACTACCAGTAAATCATGGAAGCCTTGTGGTATAAGAAATTTTAAAGAGGGGACAATAATCCCAATGTGGAAATACCAGAAGGTTTGAAGCCCTGCTGGTGCTCTTAAAAAGAGAAAGTGCAAGGAGATCTTCAAAAAGGTTTGTAGAGTCATCTGTCTTTCGGTGACCTCTGTTGTCGGGCAGCTCAGTGGTTACAAAGTATCTGGACACATAACTACTAGTCATTAACGTCTTGATAAATGGCAGATGCCTCCCTGTAATATGTGAACCCATAAAAGTAAGACATGGATAGCATGGATAAAGAATCTTCTAAAAGTAAGAATTTGTGGTGGGTTGACCCTGGCTGGACACCAGGTGCCCACCAAGCCGCTCTATCACTCCCCTCCTCTGCTGTACCGGGAAGAGAAAATACAATGAAAGGCTCATGGATCAAGATAAGGACAGGGAGACATCACCCACCAACTACTATCATGGGCAAAACAGACTCAACTTGGGGAAATTAATTTAATTTATTACCAATTCAATCAGAGTAGGGTAATGAGAAATAAAAACCAAATCCTAAAAAAACCTTTCCCCACCCTCCCTTCTTCCTGGGCTCAACTTCACTCCCAGTTCTCCACCTCCTCCCCACAGTGGCACAGGGGGACAGGGAATGGAGGTTGCGGTCAGTTCATAACGTGTTGTCTCTGCTGCTCATTCCTCCCCACAGGGACAACTCCTCACACTCTTCCCCTGCTCCAGTGTGGGGTCCCTCCAATGGGAGACAGTCCTCCATGAACTTCACCATAAGTCCTTGCCACAGGCTGCAGTTCTTCATGAACTGCTCCAGTGGGGGTCCCTTCCACGGGGTGCAGTCCTTCAGGAACAGACTGCTCCAGTGTGGGTCCCCCATGGGGTCACAAGTCCTGCCAGCAAACCTGCTCCAGCGTGGGCTCCTCTCTCCGTGGGGCCACAGGTCCTTCTAGGAGACTGCTCCAACATGGCCTTCCCACAGGGTCACAGCCTCCTTCGGGCATCCACCTGCTCTGGTGTGGGGTCCTCCATGGGCTGCAGGTGGATATCTGCTCCACCACGGACCTCCATGGGCTGCAGGGGGACAGCCTGCCTCGCCATGCAAACCCATTACAGAATTTTTCAGGAAATACTAATCTTCAGAGGCCTGGACTTCAGTGAGGTACAGGACTTTTAATGCTGTTTATCTAGCAGACACATTCATTTGTTTCCCTAGTGTCATTACTTGCTGTGCTATTTTCAATGTATTGCTGTACCTCGATCCATCCACAGCCCCAGATTATTATCTGCAAGTCTCATTACACACCAGAAGGACAATACCCCCAGGAAACCGAGACCATCTTCATACAGGACTATATCATTCTGATTCTTAACTCTAATTCAATCCTACACTCCTACTTTTAAACCTACATCTCACTTTAATGTGTAAATTATCTACTGCTTTAAAGAAGCACTGCCAGATAATGCGCTCTATTATTATTTTTTAATGCAGATCTAAGAGATCATAACGCAAAGGATCTTTTCATGAACGAAGCCCAAAGGGTGGTGCATTTTTTTTCTTTCTAGCTATCCTTTTTTTTTTCATTTGTTACATGTTAAATTCCTTTTTGACATATCCTGGCAGAAATAAACCAAAAAGGACAAAGGAAATTCCATATTGGATAAATGAAAAGAACAAAGAAGAAAACATAAAAAAGATAAATGAATACACTTACTAAACTAACCAAACAGCCATCTGAAATGGCTGATTAATAACTGTCCTCATACAGCCTATACTGCAGACACTTTCTAACAAGTACAGTAAGCACAAGACATGTTTATTGAATATTGAAAAACATAAAATGGATATAAAACATGATTAGTAGGAAGGACAACTGTTAGAGTTGGTTTCAGATAAACTAAATTTGCGGGATTTATGAGTTCCCTTCAAGAGACTAATGGATGTTTAGACGACTAGAGAGAGAAAAAAAATGGATTTTGGTATTTCTTTAACAGTTCCAAGCTTATCACTTGGAGTATATAATTCTTCTTAGCCTTTTCTGCTAAATGAAGAATATTTCATCCCATTCAGTTACAAAACTCAAAGGTTAAACAACTAAACCCCACAGCTGCTAAAATGCATCACAGTCTCCTGGCAGATGGAATAATTAATGAGAAACTGAGTACGGCACCAACAATAAATATATGGTAGCCAGAGAAGTGAGGAAATAAATAAAAAATACACACTATGTGCAAATGAAAGTAGAATGCTGAAGAGTTCAAATAACCTGCTCCCAGAGGATATTCGTTGGAAGAGGTAATATTTTACAGAAAGCAAAGGACTAGATAGTCTTCCACAATTTTAAAATGTGCTTAATATTCAGAAGACGTGGGTTACAGTAGCTTGTACTGTTTAATGTTTCTATTAACTCTCATTTATAAGCAAGTAGCATCTGATCACACTCAAAGCCCAATAAGGGCTTTTTAAGATTGCCAGCAACCTTAATCCAAGGTGACTATTTCAGTATCACATCTAGAGAGGTAACCCATTTCAGCTTCAAAGCCCTGAGACAGAAGGGCTCTGTATCTACAGCTCTCACAAACACTGTCTGGATGGTTTGAACGTGAAATTAGGCCCTCTCAAATGAGAGATCTCTGTAGATACACATATGATCTATTCTGCTCTATGTAACTGTTAACCTCAGAAACACCCAGACTGGAGATTACAGAGTACATTTGTTACGAAGATCAGGCCAGCTATTAATAAAGGCCAATTTGGGGGATATGTTAAACTTACAATGAATACTGTCAATGAGGGCAAATCAAAGAGAAAACTGCCTTTATCAGAAAGCTATCTCCAGAGGTGTTATGAATTCATTTTATTTCCTATTCTTCTCTGACCCAGCTGACGTTATTATTGAATATACATGTTCTTGTTTGTCTTTTCATCCATAGCTAATGCAAAACACCACTTTAGGGAAAGAGTGGGATTAAGTAGGATTTTTTATTTCATTATTAGAGCAATGCCATTTACTGTAACAGTTGAAGTTGTGTCAGCACATTTATTATAATCTACAATTTTCAGAGGTTTATAATTTGGAATGTGAAATTACTGCAAAGGAGAAACGTTGGGACAAAGCAACACATTTATCTGTGGTGTAAGTAGGGGCAATCTCATTGACTGACGACAATACCCACTTCCTCCAGGGATGAATCGGCTCCCAAAGCAGATTGTTCCTACAGTACAAATTTAACTAGACAAATGGCTGAATGAGGGCTTTATTAGGATGAGTTCTGTAGAAGTCTCGCTAGAAATAGCAACAACAAACTATTATCTTTAGGAGCCTTCAACTTCTACCACGCCTTGGAAGATGATGAGATGGACCAAAATCAAAATGAGCTATTTTTATAACAGTTTATTACGATTTTGGCATAACAAGATAAATTTTTACCTTCTCTCTTTGACTCTTCACACGTTTTCCAAAAGTATAATTAAAAAAATTATGCTATGATAATAAACCAGTTTAAACATAATCTGAATCCCCTTTGTATCTGTTCTTGTAACAGACAATGTCAAAAGATTATGCAAGTCCCATCATGGCTTCTGTTTCTCAGTGGGACAGACTCTTGGTTTGTACCCTTTTCCTCTTCATGTTCAGCATGAATGAGTCACAGAATCCCTCTCGCCACTCCAGTTGGTACAGCATGAGTTACTCTGTTAAAATGTAAGTCTAGGAACATTTTTTAACTGCTTC